GCGTCTGAGAGGGAAATACCTTCGTCTCCTTGGTCGCAGTTTGTCATGTCTAAAATAAGTTTTTCCAGTTCTTCGTCGAGTTGCCGTTCCACAAGCGCCTCCATACCGAAATCTAGACACTCGTAAACCACTCTGCCCAGATTAAAAAGTACCGCCGACTCTTCTTCAACCGAAGAAGATTCGTTTATACTGGTGAAGAAAATGCTGCCATCTTTACGAATTTCGATTGTTGTTAGTTCAATGTCGATCTTTTGTCGTCTTAAAGCACCGAAGCTTTCTTTACGAATGGCAACCAACTCCTTCGCGCTCTGGTAACAGACAGCCAAAGCTTGGTTCTCGCTAAGTGGTGCTCTGAAGCAATTGAGAATATCCGACAGAAACATGTTGTCTTTCGGCGACGCTACATCACGTTCTTTGTAATAAAGAGTCAAGTTTTTAATATGATAGCGAGAATTCAAGATTCTTTTCGCCTTGACTGGGCGAGTTCCTTCGTGGTTTATTACAAATTCATGCGGCTATCAAAGATATTTTTTCTCTCTTTTTCTCATTGGCTGAAAGGAAGAAATGACATCAATAAATTATTTATCGCTGGCGGGAATTCAATTTGGTCCATCAATTGAAAATTCGTTTGGCGTGTTTTGGGTAGTGTAAAAATTTAAATTGAAAAAAAGAAATGGGCCATAACAATATATTAATTGACTGCTTGACATCTTTCTTTCTATTGAGAAGAGGCATGCATTTCTTAGCGGAAGAAATTTTACTCACATTTTTCCCACTAACCTTTTTTCACTCACCTTTACCGATTAGACAGATAATTGACAGATTTTGAATATGTAATGTTTTAAATTTTGTTTGGAAAACACTTTTCAACTTAAAGCTGAAGATTTCATTCTGACATTCCGTCTTAGAATACTGTCCTTTTGGTTATGATAAGTTATTCCCCCGGGAAATCGTCTTCACACTCAGAGATCACCTATAAAAATTTTATGTGAAAAATTTCTTCCTTCTTCAACAAGATCCTCGTCTGTTTGTTATGTAGTTCCCTTATAATGAACCCCAGGTATGTTGCATTGACGATAAAGAAAAAAATCGCGGTTGAATCTAAAACGAAAGTTATTTTCTTTATCAAAATATTGCTGGGTTGTTTTTCTTATATTTCCCTAGCTTTATGCAAATACCTCGCCTGTATTACATTTATATTATGTTCATGAAGCAATCTGTCCATCCGGTCAATTAGTCCAGGTTTCCTTTTAAAACATTATAATCCCAAATTCATATTCAAATTCAAGAAGTGAAAAACCGAATGATTAATCAGCAACTGTCTGCATTTCTAAAATTAGAAAGAAATGTCGCTTTTTCCTTTGTCTGTCGGATTGCTTTCAAATTAAGTTTTTGACCACCATGCGAGAACGCCCATACAAAGATAAATCTCAAAAAATAAACTGATGAAGCAATATCGCGATTGTCCAAGCATCAAATTGCCCCCGAGCTCAATATATTATTTTTGAGTGACAACTATGATTATGAAAACACTTCTAGTCCTATTGTTCAAAAGGCCCCTTCTTTTTTCGGAAACGATTTCCAGAAATATGCATTTTAAAATACTGGGAATTATCGTAATGTCTTCCAAATGTGTGTGCGTTTTTCCCTTTTTTAGGTCTTTATATTCCTTCCCCTAAAAATATAACATGACGAGAGGGGCAATGTGAAAAGCGCGAATGATACAGGCTTACTTAGTGAACTATCTGATCGTAAAATTTATCTGCAGATGCCTTTATCCTCTCTCTATTCTCCTGTCTTGATGCCAGATAGTCTGATCATTTCGCCAGACCTTCAGGACTCCGCACTCGCACATGCTGAGGAAGGATTGACTGTCTTTCAATATTTCTCATCGGTGTTGAGTTCAGAGCCGCCCAAAATAGTCCCTGTTATAAATTTAAGTTTCGTACTAAAAAAAAGGAACATAGTGCGGTTTTTCTTATCACAATTTTTTTGTTTCTTTTATATATGAATATTAAGGAAAACATTGCTTCTCTTTTTTCCCTGAAAACCTAAAACCGAATGCTAATACCTTTAGAGTATTTAAACTCAGGCTTTGAAATAATGATTTACACGATAATTTTTTTGCTAATACTTGACCTTGCCCTAAGATCAAATTATTCTCGTTATTAATTTTTCGTCTTTGCTTAGTTTTGACGAGATGATTTTGAGAATTTTTTTCATATCAGTATTGCCCACTCTTGAAAAGTCTTCTTCCATTTTCCGCAGTTATGACAAAGCGTTATAAAATTTCTTTTTGGCGAATTTCTCAAGATTAGCAAGGAGTCTTCTTAAAACAAACGTATCGAAATGCTTTCTCATTTAGATGTCAATTCAACAAACAAACAAGAAACCCTGACAGGTTGTAAACTTGCTACTAACCAACGGGCGAAGCGAGCGCGGTGAGGTCGGACAGCAACCGAACGAACGACGAACGAACTACGAAGTCTTAAGGTCGACTTGAGTCGCCTGAATGGATTTGAATCATATTTAAATTTCAGGTGAGAAAAAGATGATTGACATTATGACATATGATGTGTCGGAAGCGGCCTCAAATATCACTCACTCCCCTATTGGTCAATTTGTTATGACGTCACCAGTAGAATTCAGTTTCGCGCCAATCAACCAAGAAAAAAAAAAGTTTTAGAAAGTCTAGACAGGATTTTTTTTTGCTTGAATTGAACTCTTAGAATATTGAACAGGCTTAAATCTCAATGGTAGTTTCTGGGTTTGCCGATTCCAGTCTTCTGTGAAATTTTTCTTTAATAGTTCAATTTGATAGTTTACTGTATTAGGTTTTGGTATTTTTAGTATTTTAGCAATTTTATTTTTTGCACTTTAGTACACTGCCCTATTGCCTTCTACCACCTAGAGTGACATAAGCCATCTAAAGAAAGAACTTTATTATTATTACTAACTGACTAATAGTAAGGTTTTACTTTGCCTTGTAGTTGCTTATCTCACATAGATTTTATTCAGTCCGAAAGCAAATGCCTCTAGCAGGTTAGAGCCCTCGTCACAATTATTCCAAGAGGAATTCGTTTTTACACGATTTTTAGAATCTAGCTTTACAGTTTATGTGGAGAAATAGAGGGGGTAAAATTATAAAAAAGGGTTATATTTAAGATTTATTAGTGATTTAACATTTAAACGTAAACTAGAAATGAATTGTTTAATTTTCCACACTGTTTGCGCAGAGGAGTTATTTTCGTACATGTGTCGTACTGTGATTCCGTTTTAACTCGCGGTTTGACTTAAATGAACCGTCACTTACAACAAACCACATTCTCGTTCCTAGCGCTTCTCTCCTTTCACATCATGACCAAAAGTATCGAAGAATGAACAAACGTCTCTGACCGTGAAAGTTAAAAATTCAACCCGGTTGGTTAGTTCCGTGTGACAAGATCGAAAACTGAACGGTTCCGTGTAAACGAAAGTCGAAGTGTCCGGTTAAATTTTTCAGCCGTCGAAAATTCATCCGGTGCCATGTGAAAACAAATACCCTTCAAAATATGTTCCCTGCATAAAATTATTATTTCTTCCAATTCTTCTTATATTTCATTCTTTTTCACTTCACCCCTACCTTTCAGTCAACAATCAGGAGCCAAGGGTCAGGAGCCCATCACTCATAGGCTCTTGCTTGTAATCTGTTACTGTTGTTGTCACAGGGTCCAGAGGAGTTTCGTGTGAATAAATGAATTACTTACCTTGAAAAATGTCTATACCTCATGTCGCTTAGCACGATTAATTAGCCCAATGGGATCTTTATAAATCTACTGTAAGCGATTTCTTCCGGCTTCTTATCTGACCCAGATCGACTTTTGAAAATCAATAACCGAAAGCCATATCCTCGCTGGCGCACGAAACGTCGCCCGAAGGTTGACCGAAGGCCGTCACCCGAAGGGCTGAGTAAAAGAAAGGACAAGGGAGGAAACTTGTACCACGTGACTTCGTTCGCTGTGAACCGCATCACTCGGTGACGGAAGTGAATGAGACCGGAAACGCAAAAGCAGCAGACCGCTGCTAAGTTCGAGAATCAAAACATCAGCTGCGGAGAGAGTTTTAAAGATCTTAGAGATCTATGCGAAAGCAACATCCTCGGAGACCCAGGGGCAGATAGTGGGGGCAAGGGAAAGACTAAACGGGCGGAAAAAAAATCTTTACTTTTCTTCGCGCCAAAATTTTTCGCCCGTTTAGTCTTTCCCTTGCCCCCACTATCTGCCCCTGGGTCTCCGAGGATGCGAAAGCAACAGAGTTTTAATTGAAATGAAGATCTTTCAAGACTGGACATTTGTTGTACGTTTCAACAGTCTTCGATGTCTTAAGCAGGTTTTGCTAGTGCGAAGGCTCGCCCAGTAGTCGCAAAACGCACAGCCAAAGATGCAAGAGGTAATATAGTTGGACCACCGAAGAATGGCACAGTCGTGATGATATTACAGTTGCCTTGTACGTCTCTACTCATTGTCACTTTTGATTGCAAGACTACACACGACCCGTAAATCACTATCCGTAATAATTTAACATTCTCCAAACAAAACTAACAAGCTGGGCCCAGCGTGAAACTGTAAGCGATCTTGCGAGCCCTCAGTCTCTTGGTTTGCGCTCTATAGAATGTGTAACGAAACCATAACCGGTTTTTTTTAGAGGTTTTCGACGGGTTTCGATGTTCTAACGACAAACACATCTCCTCTGGACCCTGTGTTGTTCATCCTCGGAGACCCAGGGGCGGATAGTGGGGGCGAGGGAAAGTCTAAACGGGCGGAAAAATATGGCACAAAAGAAAAGTAAAGAACGGCCATTCTTTACTTTTCTTTTGTGCCATATTTTTCCTCCCGTTTAGACTTTCCCTCGCCCCCACTATCCGCCCCTGGGTCTCCCCAGACTTCCCTATTGTTGGTTTGTTGTCCTGGCAACAACTCCAACAAGCCAAGTTACCCACAATTCTTTCTGGGTGAGAGTAAGAGGACGAGCCTGTTCCAGGTCAGCTCAAAATATCCAGCTTTCTTAAAAGATTTTGTTGCTTGTGAGGTACTTTTACTGGAGGTGGCGTAACAAATCATTGGTAAAAAAGCAACACTGTGAGCCTGAAGCATCAGAAAGGATTACAGCCTGTATTCGAGTACGTGAGCACCATCTGTTTACTACGTCTGCTTTGCTTTCTCTTACTTCATTCTGCACTAGTTGTCTGCACACATAAAGACTCTACTCCAAGCGGAAATACATTTCTCAATTGTTGGGAGAAAAACAAATTAGGAGGCTTGGATAATAAATAAATCAGTTGTGCTTTTAAAAAGAATACGTGTAGGTTTAAATACGCTGTCCTGATCGCGTGGAAGCTAATATGAGGGAAGAAGACGTAGAAGTAGCCATAAAAGTTGTGGTAGTTGGAAATGGAGCCGTCGGAAAAAGCAGCATGATCCAGAGATACTGTAAAGGAATATTCACCAAAGATTACAAGAAGACGATAGGAGTAGACTTTTTAGAGCGGCAAATAAGGTTAGTTTTAGGATCTCTCAGTGCTAGAGCTGTTTATAATGAACTCAGTTAAGCAAGGAGTATTGATCAAGATACACTCAATCAGAAGACAAGACCACTTGGTGATTTGGCGATAAATATCATTCGTTTTGCAATTCTTCCCTGCATATGTAAGCAATGTTTACGGTCAAAAACTATCGCAGTCTGTGCGTACGTAGGACTCTGTATTCTAAACATTTTTTTAATCGATTTGGTTGTGGATCTTTTGCAGTATACGAAGCGAAGACGTTCGACTGATGCTGTGGGATACGGCAGGGCAGGAAGAATTCGACGCCATAACCAAAGCCTACTATCGCGGTAACGTTAATTTGTCGTACATAAATTTGATATATTTTTAAATAGTTAAGGAAAAATACACAAAGCGATGCCCAGAATATGTTTCCAAAGTAATACCTCTATGCTAAAGGAACTTTCAGAGGTTTTCTCCAAAAATTGAATCGTTTGAGAAAGCGCACAAATATAAATAAGCTTAATCTCAGATTAGATTTGCGATCTAATGTAGGACTAGCCTGATCGAAGTGAAGTACAAAATAGACTTTAAAAAAAAGTAATAAGAATTTAATTATCCTGGGACTCGTGGTAAAATATTAAAAGTTATTTTATCCTAAACATGTTTAATGTGTCAACGATATCACAATTAATAACATTTTATAGACGTCGTTCCTCGAAGGAAATTAATAGTTTTGTTTACGTGGTTAACTTTATATTATTATTTTGTGCGTTTGTTAACAACTGGGATGAAAGATACGAAAAACGTTTTTCGAAATTCACATTTTTTCTGAGATTGTTTTGAATAACTATTTGCGATGTTTGGTAAACTCCTTTTTCCCGCAGTAAAATACTTTCGAGGCGTGGATTCCACCTTTTTGCTGTGGACTAGTGTGATCACAAAGAAAATTAATTAGACGAAGGGGTCGGCTGTTACAAAGAGATTTCTTTGTGAATGACTGTTTTTACATATATTGTTTTCTTTGTTTTATGAAACATCTTGAAGAGCGCTTGAAACAAGAACACAAAAGGATTTTCAAGCATACTATAAAAGTCTTTTCACTTCACTGCTCCTTGTGAATTTTTTAGAAGATCCAAGCCATGTTGATGACAGGGCCTATAATTTAGGGTTTTATCGGTTTGAAGCTGCATTTTTTGTGTTCATGCTGATGGGCATGTATTGAAATATAAATTCTTTCTGACTTCCCAGTGTTTGGACACAGGTCTAGACTAACCTGATGTCCTTTAGTATGTTGACGTGCAAAGTAATGGTTATTAGGTTTGAGGCACACTGATTGGCTTGAGGATGATATTATACAATGTGCAATGCCAAGGACTTCCTGTGCCAAAAATATACTAATCCCCAACTAGTGCAGTTGATAAAAAACCAATATCATATCAGAAAACCAATGCTGATAAATCAATAATTGTCAATGGGGGCAGTGTAAAATGCAGACTGTGGACTGACTGTGGACTATCATTTTTAGGGTTAGAAAACAATATTGGACTGTTGTTGTCATGTACTTATTTGCATGGTGAAAACAATAGTCCGCAGTCTGCATTTTACACTGACCAATTGCTGAAAATCACCTTTTTATTGATATCAATATTGTACCGGTCAGTCAACAGAAATTGATAGCAACAACTTTTTTGATTGTCAGCACTATCGATTATATGGATTTTAATGATATTATTAATTTCATGATCCTTCATTGCCTTCAAGGTTCAAAACCCAATGATGCATTTAAAACTGAACCTTGTTTGAAAAACTTGCGAACAGCTAACGATTGGTTTCATATGTTTTGATCTTGCTACTTCTCTTTCCATTGTTGTTGTTGTTATTATTATTATTATTATTATTATTATTATTATTATTATTATGTAGTTGCAGAGTTGATTATCTACTGTCTTTTGCATATATACAGGATGACTTTAATGATGGATGCAATATGATTTTTGAAGAAGCAAGGGTCTTACTGACAAACTGTATACTGACCTATGTCCACACCACTTGAAATATACATTGTAGGGTTCAACTTGAACAGTTTCCAATGCATCCAAGCTGAATCAGTTGAACTAGTTTACTCATTTAACACTATCCTGTTGATTGGCCAAAAAATGTTTCGTTAGAATATTGAGTGTAATTTGTAAAATAAATTTTGCTACAAATTTGTCCTTCCAAAGCCACATAGATAATGTACTTGTTTTCCAGAAACAACGTTTTATGCCAGTGTTAACTGCTAAAACACATGGAAATTCAAGCGCCGAATAAAATTGATAACTTCAATAAAAATCAATCAAAATCAATAATATTATCAATTAGCAATAACTTTGTCATCTATCGGTTTTTATCCGTTTTTAATTTAATCAATTGATTTCATCAACAGTTATCGATTGTTATCGATTGTTGACTTTATCGATTGCACTACCCAGGATTAATTGCAATTCCACCAAAATAAAGTGACAAATTGCCTGTGATGCAAAGAATTATTTGCACCAGACAAACCTGATGTTTACATGTGCAAGTTTTGCAATACTCCAGTGGAAAAAACTCTGTACTTTAGAGCCCTGCGTAGTGGCTACAAAGCTGTAAATAAATCATGTTATGTTCTACAGTAAGAAACAGTTTTTTTTTTTCATTGATATTTCATATAACAACCATTCAGTTGTGAATTTGACTACAAGGGTCTTCTCTACATTTATGACCATTAAATTTTAGTAAACAATGTCTGAAAGAGCCCCTTTAGAAAAGCGCTGTAAAAAAGGACAAGGATTAGTAGAAATTAGTTGCGAGCAGGGCCTTTTTAAAGATGCCTCCCACAGGTTTCACTCCCTCCTTCCCCAAAAGCATAAAACCCAGTTCTGTTAAAGAAATTGGTGCAGATTTTATATCCCAATAATGAAAAATGAAATATTTGATTTTGTCTTGGGAAATATAAAATATTTTTTATTTCATGAATATTAATTTTTTTAGCTTTTTTTTACATTTCTGTTGTAAATATTGTGCAATTCAGCCCTTGAGCGTCAAGGTGATTTTCAACCTACCTACTTTTTTTCTGTTTATAGGTGCTCAGGCCTGTGCAATAGTTTTTTCCACTGTTGACAGAGACTCCTTTGAAGCTGTAGAAAAGTGGAGAACAAAAGTAAAGCTTGTTTATTGAATTATTTGTGTATTTTGCATTCAACAGTGCACTGCAGTTACCTGCTGCACACCCATGATCAGGGCAATACAAACGTTCTGTCCAGTAGCTGTAAAATTGGTTTGTTAGGCCTGCACAACTTTACCAGGGACATAAAATTTAAGTTTTTCAAGTACCGTTATGATTCAATTTAGCGCCCTCCTTCGAATGTGTTTTTGTTAATAAGCGCCGCTATTCCATTAAGCGCCCCTATTTTACCATAGTTAAAAAAAAAGAGTACGGGTACGTATCAACTGGAGTTCATCTTCCTTCACAAACGAATGGTAATGCCTCATTACAAAACAAGGATCTTTTTTATGGGATCAATGAATCAGACGTCGAAGATAGCACACCAAAAAGCTTTTATTTACAGTATTGATGTAAGTGACATTGTCAAAGCTTCCAGCGTAGAAATAGATTAAAATCCCCTCGCGTTAACTGAACATTCACCGTGTATTTGTTACTGTTACAGTTTCTGTTATTGTTCCATTTTTAATAAAAAAGAAATAAGTGCCCTGTCTCAAATAAGCGCCCTCCCTTGAGGTACCAAAAGTAAATAAGCACCGTGGGCGCTAAATCGAATCATTATGGTATTTGCAAAGTCAAAAATTCTGCACTATCCAACAAATATATATTGATCCCTAGTCTGGGCTGGGAGTGTTAAAAGATTATACAAAAGAAGTTTGGAAGAAAATTAAACTAATAAATTAATTTTAACATGTATACATAACTATTTAGTAAAATAATAATTATTTAATACAGGGTTATTTTTAAAATTTTATCTCTCTCCGATACAACAGAATATGAAATGGATTTCTACCTTTCTGATGGGTTATATATAATACATGCATTAGATAATCTTTTCCACATCAAGGCAAAGTTGCACATGAACAGTGGCAATGCATTTTTGTTTCAATCTAATTTTCCCTCTTTAGGTGGAAGAAGAATGTGGTAGTATACCTATGGTGTTAGTACAAAACAAAATTGATTTGATTGACCAAGCTGTTGTTCAAGTGTAAGTATTTATTTATCAACATAGCTGTTTATTAGGGATTGATTGTATTTAAATCGCTAACAAAGTCGGACTGGAATCCATGTTATCCTGTGTAGCTTGCTGGATTGTTCTACACTGGGTTACTTTCTTGGCGGTGGAGCCACCATGCAAAGAGAGAAAATCACACACTGCCATTTTTCTCATGAGTTTTGAATTCCACCCACTTTTGTCACCTTGGTTGGAGCTATTTGATTAGCCTGCCAGAAAGCTAAGAGCAGTGTAAAACGAAACTGTCCATCAAACGCGCTAGGCCAAGCATTGCAAAGCATAGAAGTCAAGAGAATAATCACACTCACGGACAAAACAACTACATGTAGCGGTTATTCTGGATCCAAGATCTTAAGAGAAAACTATAGAAACTAAAACCTTTATTAAAATAAAGGTCATTTAGTCACAATAAAAAGCTTAAGGCTTCAAAAGAGGTCAAAGAAAAACCATTCAAATTCTGTCAAGAGTGAAAAACCACTGGAAATCCAAGCACAGGAAACAAATCAGCCTCATGACCTCTTGATCGGCTAAACTAACATTTACTTAGTCAAAATGAAGAATCCTCCACAGCATACTCTACCCAATTTTTCTAAGGAGCCAGTTGTCAGTGATCAAGAGCTCTTTGAGGGTGAGCTGAGATGGATCAGGGAGTCTGCATGACAAAGGGCAATATTGTCTGATGGGCTTGTTATAGAGCCAATTTCTGGTCTTTAAACAGTACAAGTCTTAGCACTTTCTGAATTAAGGATAACAGAAAGCCTGTCTTAAATTTGAGACCTATTTCAGTCTCAAAAATGCCTTTTGAGGAGTTCATTGAACCGCAAATCAAAGCAAAGCCTGTTAGCTTGCTCAATTTAATTTCATTTCATAACTTTCCCTTGGAAGAGACTAGAGATTTCCATTAACATTTGATTGACATGTTATCACCTCTCAGCCAATCAGAAACTCCTGTCTACCTGTTTGTCAGACTATTCAAAATACCCAAGATTTAGGGCAGGCAGGGTTTTAATTTTACTTGCCCCCAATCTTCACTAAGCTTGGCTGCCAAAAAATCGCAGCACTCACCTACTAATCCCGCCAGCTACACAGCTTTGCCACTCTCACTTTGCATGCCTCTGCTTATTCCAACTTTCTGCTTATTTTTCAGAGATGAAGCGGAGTCTTTAGCCAAAAAATTGAGGTTAAAGTTTTATCGTACATCAGTAAAGGAAGATCTTAATGTAAATGATGGTATGTAATGGGTAATGGATGTACTAAATTAGTTTATGATGTATTGCATCTGATCCCATTATTAGAGTAAAGAATTGTGATGTCAAAAATATAAGAATTGAAATTATGGGTTTTGTTGTGACTGTCTGAGAGTAGTACTTATTGCAGGTCATAAATAGTTTCCTTGGACCACACTGTATAAGAGTATTTCCAGATTACATTTAGTAATTATCATTTGACATGTAGGTAGTGAAGTTTAAACAACATGTGAATGTATTGAAGATAGAAACAATAATAGAAAAGGCAAAAGTTTTGAAATTATTATTGATTTTTTTATGCCATGAGAACCAAAAAAATGTGTTCTCTCTTAATTAATGGGTCTGTGTTACGTGTATTTCAGTATTCATGTACCTGTCTGAGAGATATTTAGAAGCATTACAAAATGTTGATGTAGAAGAACCAAAATCACAGCAACAAAAAAATGGTAAGTGTTTACTTTGCTTGCTAGGCCATCAGTCATCAACTTGAGGCAACTACATGTAAAAGTTAAATTTAAAAATTTCCAGATCTCAGTCATGTAAATTTATTAGCCTCTGGTAGTGTAGGCATTTTTGTTTGCCTGGGTTTAAAATTCTAACTTGTTCAGGTAATGCATTTTGTTTTTGTTTGAGCAAGTTATAAGCTAGAGGAATTAATGTTATTATATTTAAGGGAATCCGTCACGCTAAACGACCAGCTTGTAAGGTAATGATAATTAATTTTTGTAAACCCATTCGCCCCTGAGCACCCCCGTGCAGACTTTGTCCTCTAACTTGTGTAGAGTGAAGAGATCTTTCAAACCATACCATAATGAGCAGAATTCAGGCAAGGACACCAGAGAAAAAGGTCGAAAAACCATGTAGCATTGACCTGAAAATTTCCATGAAAATCTTGTTCCACTACCCACCTACCTATCCTTTCCTTTCATCTAATCCTAAGATCCTAAAAGCTTCCCTAAAAACTTTTCCCACCAAAATGACGCCTACTAAATGCCCAGCAAGAGAAAAAAAAAATGAGGCAAGAAAAGCGAAAAAAGAGGGAAAGAGAGAAAGCGAAAAATAAAACTGCTGTGTCACTTTTAAACCCAAAAACTCTCTCGAAATTTTGCTTTCTGCGCATGCCCGAACTTCACAAGCTAATATTTTGCATCTGGATCAGAAGACCATGAAGTGTTTGACCTGGAAACGGCTTTGTGGTAAGTTTTAGCTCTTTATAGCACGACGGTGACCAGAAAACCACCTGACTAGCTTCAAAACGTGTTTTTCGGCAAAATCTTCAGGGGTGAATGGGTTCATTACAGTGTACACTGCTTTTTAGCCATCCATGGTAAAGTTCTGTGGAAGTGTGTTGTGTAGTTGCATTACTTTTTAAATTGATTGACCTCTGGTCCCTTTAGAACCTATCCCATCCTCCCTCCTCGCCTCACCTTTTTTTCCCTTTCTATCCCCTTGCTATCATTGTTTTTTCTTCATTAGCAGGTGCTTTATTCTTAACTCATTCTGGATTTTCATTCCTTTTTTATCTGCCAGTGGCTGGAATGTTTAACACCGCATCACCAGCAAACAATTCTCAGCCTGGAAATAACAATGCACGTGCAGCACAGCAAGTGGAAAGTGGAGATATTATTACACTAAAACCTAACAAGCAAAGAACAAAGGGTAAAAAGAAATTGGCATGTTCTTTGTTGTAATGCTTGAATCCTTGCAAATTCTGGAACACTTGCACAGCATCAATAATTAAAATGCAGCAGTATGAATGTGTGTCATCAGGAGGAAAGCTGGAATGACAAGAATCCTCCATCAACTGTCATTAATTGTCCCACAGGAGACTGCCAATAAATGTGAGACATCAATTCGCAAAATGGTGAACATAATCAGTTTTGGGGACATAATATATTTACTTTTAAAATTATTATTGAATAATAGACTATGTAAACTCAAATAAAAAATCCTTTTAGATGTTATGGCAGCTTCTTTGGTGTATAGAGCAAAAGGAAATAAAAAATAATCCGTTAGGAAGTAAATTATATTTTTATTAACATTTTTCCATTATTGATTAGGAACACTAAATTAGTTGCCATAAAATCTATTTACACTAGTTTGCAGGCGCATTGGTAATATGGAAAAATTTAAAGGAATTTCAACATAAGTGTCTCTTATAAAATGTTGTAAGTACATGTATATATCGCATGTTAAAATTACAAGTTTGTACTTCTGTTTATATTGGAGAAAACAAGTGTTGTTTTAGGACTCTTAATTGGATGTCCTGGGGTAATTACCATTTACTTGGGAAAACTGGAAATTCTGGTTGGAAAATCAAATGGTTTGCGACATTTTGTTTGGGAAGCTTCAGAAAATATGGGCTGTGTTTTGCGATGATGTAATATTTTTCTACTCTTTTTAGTCTGCTCAACTGATTTGGATATAAAATTAGGTTGCGTTTCATCATCCGGGTGAACGTAGTCCTGAACAGGACTGTTGTTGTTGACAGTGACTGATGTTTCGACAACCTGTGCAGTAGTCATCTTCAGAGTCAAAAGTGATTTGGATATAGTTTGTAGTGGATCGTCCT